TTAGTTTGAAAAGAAGTGATTTTTGTTGCTCTTTGTGCCAGCAAGTTTTCCACAAAAAATCTTTTTGGATCACCTAATACTCAAAGAGCACTGGTCACATCTTTGCGATGACTTTTTGATGAAAAACAGTATGCCTGTGGAAATTTGTTTGACATTCCGTCCAGAGTAGAGTTAGACCATCGTTTATATGGTGATTCTGAAAGGGCATGCAAAACTGCACAAAGTGATATGCCCTAAGTAACATTTCTATAAAAAGTTTTAGTCACATCTTTTTGACTGGTATAAACTAATCAAAAGAATTGTGACATCCCATTTTATAAGAATAATGGTCTTCAAAAAACATCTGAGACGACCGAAATATTTGCCTTCCATTACTCTATCAATTTGTAAAATATGAGGTCGAACAGACATATTTTTCTAAACCGGAGGTGTCCTTTATATGATTACTTTTAAGAAAGAGAATTATACGAGTCTTGGAGGTTCATATGAACGATGTACAAATGAAATGTTGAGCGATCAAGCTTATTTAATGTCAAAACTTTTCAGTGAAAATGATTATGGGTACGATCAATATTTATGTGCCCGTCTATGTGAGTTGAAATTCATTTATCGAGCATGCGGATGTATTCCACTTTTACATATTCCAGCAGAAAAATTATTAATTAATGGTTAACTTGAATCAATTTCTCACTGCAACAAAATGATTCTTCCATTACTAATATCGTGAAAGAACAAATAGAAATATTTCGTTCAACTAATTATCAACAAACATGTTCACATTGTTTGAAAAAGTGCTCATCAAGTAAATACAGTCTCGTCGTTTCGCCATTACAAGCACCAGCACATACTCATATTGATCAATTAGTTAATGAAGTTGAAAAACTGGCTGCTTTGACTAACATCTCATTACCAAATGATTTTTATTCAAACACACTTGAATACTTTAGAATGAATTACGTTTAAATGGTCATAACTGCAAGAAATAATTATTTTGTTAGCGTCAACACACAACAACCAGCATGTACATTTCCGATGTTAATAGCCGACCTTGCAGGATTTATCGGATCGTAAGTAGAAGGACTAAAAAATTTTGTGTTTCCGTTTTTTGCGTTGAAATCATAAATCTCAGACTGTAGGATTTTAGTTTCTGTGTAAATGACTTATAAAGTTTTATCAAACGCTTTTTCCCAGTATTTTCACCATTTTTAAACTAACAACGACATTCTTCAGTAAGGCTGCTATATGGGTGATCTCTACAGCGGGAAGATAAACTAAGCCTATAAACAACGGTAAAATAAATTTCATTTCTTGAGCTTTTGTCATGGCCTCTACTGTTGCTATAGTGTATGAGTAATAGATTCAAGTGAATTAAAGCCTTCATTGTTTATAGAGTCTCATAAGATACATCTGAGAAAGAAATAATATCTCTGTTTATCATACAGTACAGATGATTAGAGGCGAAAAAGTCAAACATCTGTAATTTCATAGTGTTTGATGAAGTCGTAATACATTTTCATACGTGTTTCTCGAACAACGAGCATCTGATCTACATGAATTCTTAGAATATATATCATGATATCATCAGAATAGAATTTGGGCGCCGGAAAACTTTTTCTGAAACGCTCCTCATGTATAGAAAAAGTAGAATTGTTATTATTTCTCAGATTAATTGTCATTTTCTGATGATAAAACACTCGTTTGACCTTAGTTTGAGCCTACACTCTGGACTAAATTCAACAAAGAGGTTTTTTTCATGATATTTATTTTTAAGAAAAATACAAATTTTCACGAAACACTAGTGTAATACTGCTCTTCATGCTGTAGCACTATTGTTTTTGCTAAAACTAGAGTAGAAACTTCGCATCAGAGGTGGGCGATGGGCTATCTCTAGCGGCCTCGCGAGGATCGCCTCGCAGACTTTCTGCCTCGTCATACTCGTCAAGTTTCGAGAAATCTACTTCGCGGGGATAGCCCCGTAAGCTTTCTGCGCGGTCACCGCCTCGTCCATCGTCAGCTAGTGATAAAATAGGCGTGTTACACCAGAAAGTTGGCCTCCGAACCCCGGAATGCTACGGAGCTGTCCTTTGATTTATAACAGTTTCTCAACGTGCTCTTTCTTTTCTTCTCTAGAAAGTTTTCTCCGAAATGCTCGGAAGTAGGACCTTTAGCCATGGTTTTTGGGCTACTTGTACTTCTTAAAAGGGTTTTAAAAATCACTGTTAAGACATGGAACATTTTTAATAACGTATTTGGATTCAGCGAAGAGATTGAAGACGAGAAACAAGATCAATGTGATCTATAGCAGTTGAATACAGGAAGGCGACTACCACTTTTGTATAGCAGTCAATATCATCGCTAGGGCTAGAGTATCTTATTTCGATTGTTTTGACCTTTAGAAGGTCGAAAAGTCCAGTACTAAAGTTTAACATTCAAAAATAGTGAAATTAAAATTAAAGTAAAAAAGAGTTTTGTAGAGATCCTCTGAAGAATCGTGATTACCTGGTACTGGGATCTTGTCAAATCCCTACGTTTATTCAGTTTTTAATTCTCTATCTAACCAAGTCTGAGCCAAGTGTCTATCTCTTTTGTGAACTAGGTTTTTTTTATTTTAAAAAACGTTGAATTTTTTAATTTTAAATGGAATTCAAAAATGAAATTTGTAGTTGGAGATAGAGACCTGCAACCCGACCCGAACCCGATCCTACCCTAGGATTGGGTCGGGCTCGGGTTGAACATCGTGCGGCGCAAATTAAAATATAGATAATAATTTCGAGTTTGTATTAATCGTTGAAAAGGTAATTCTAATGGAATCTTCAGTTAAAATACTTATTTCAGAAAAACTGCATTCGCTAACGAGGCAAGGTCTTCAGATGCCCAATTCCGTTTTTAATGATATTATGCCAGTTAATAGAGGAAAATGAGCTGATAAAAACCCTCAAAGGAGGATCCATATCAGTTCTTTAAAAAGTTATGAATTTTTTTGTTCTAAAGGAACACTGTGTGTGGTAACAGTAATAATTCTGTAACCCAGTCAGAACAAAGAATTAAGAAGTGAAATTTTCTTTTGTACTTTCGCTAATAGTCTGCTAATATTACAGAAAATTTCAGCGTTATATTTTCCTAAATTCGCTTGCTATTGAACTTTTCTTCTTGAAGGAAAACAATGTTTTTTCAAACTGCACAATTTTCAATGATAGCATTTCTCTTTTATTAGAGGTGATATTGAGAATTTAGAAAGATATAACGCTCATATTTTCTGGAATATTAGCAGACTATTAGCAAAAGGTCACTCGCCTGTAATGCGGCGGTACCCTCCGCTAAATAAATAGGTAAATAAAAAGACATAAACTGAAAAACAAAACAAAAGAGTCAAAATTTATCGGGTCGAGTCGGGTTCGGATCGGCATTTTGACAGTTGGGTCGGGTTCAGGTCGCACACTACCATGGTTATGTGTTGAACGTACTCAACAATGGCATCCGCGATGACAAGTATAGAAAAGTGATGGACATTGTAGATGATGCACAATGGAAGTGGTCGCCTGCTAGAGAGCAGCCGAGTGATGATGAACGTAGGTTAGGTATCTGATTCACGTATACTGTACCTAACATGAGTTTGTGAATGTGAAGTTACATGCAGAGACGCTCAACCTTTCATGATTCCAGAAAAGGTTAATAATCGAAGAATTTCGCAATGATTTTTTATAGAAACCCATTTCTAGTATTTCAAATGTATGTGTTTAAAAATATATCTGTAAAACTGAAGCAATAAATTCAGATTTCGTGTGCAGGATAAAATGTTTATAGTCAACTGTATTTGAACAAATTAATGAGCTTTTCCCTTTTGCTTAACCAATTTTGGTTTGAATTTCCGATAACAAATGCGACAACAACAATATGGTAATAGCACTAATAGCGCAATGGTTGCAGTAGTAACGAGGAGGACAAGACTATGAATGATGAATGATTGTTTGTAAGTTGGTTGATTAAATATCAAATGTTGGTATCCAAATTCTAAAAACTCTTCGATGATAGTCGCTGCTTGAGTAGTACCACCAGCAGAACGGAGCAATCTCCCAATACGATGAGCAGCTGCAAAGAAATGATTCATTTTTTTAAAATCAGATGGATTTGGATACGTCATGTTATCATCAATGTTAACACTGATATTTTGTAATAATAGTGATATTTGTTGTTGCAATAATATTGGTTTCAAATTCCATCCCAAATGCATAATTCCACATCCAGATTTCTCAACCCTTAATGCATTATCAGCGTGATCCAGATGTGGTGTTAATGGTATAATTAACATCGGTTTGTTAAATATTAATGACTCAGCAACACTATTAAATCCTCCATGGGAAATAAATAAAATTACATTCTCATGTTTTAATATTTCCATCTGTGGTAAATAAGATGCATAGCGTACATTTGATAGTTGATTAATGTTTGCTTTTTCCAAGAGATATTGAAATGGTTCATTTAATGACCATAAATATCTCATTGTTTTGTTTTGTTTTGTTAGTGCTAAATGTATAATCATATGAAAACTAGATGCAAAATATTCGCACTGTTTTAGAGAAAATTAATGAATAAGTAACTCTTAGAATATTTAAAAACTGCTATCAGCAAACTTCTGTCGTTAGGCCTTTTAATTAGTATTTTTAAAAGATGGCGCGTAAAGCGACTATAAAAGCGCTCGTAGCTACGTACAACAATTTTA